GAGCAAGTTCTAGCATCAGATATAATGAGATGCCTACTGTGGAAGCCTCAAGTTCTCATCTAATAATTCCTTACAAGATATGTGGTTTGTCCTAGCCTCTCTGGAGCAGCTTGGCCAGAATCTGGATAACCCACCATCCTGAACACCTTTTACCCCCTGACCCCACTTAAGAACCAGATTTCTCCCCCAAGTGCAAAACGGCTTTCTCTGGCTTCTCCAAGATGGCTCTCTCCCTAGTGCAACTTCTGCAAGGGTGTAGCCAACCAAGACTGACTCTGAAGGCTTTAGATGGAGAACCCAGGATCTCAGAGTTCTTCCCAATCCAGCCTATCGCCTGAAGTCAAGCATAAGTTCTGGCTCCATCCCTTAAATACTGTACTTGAACTAACCTGTCCTAGCTAATATTTGTCCAGACCTTGTTAACAAAACCAAAGGAACATCCGTCCTCAGAGATGCACACCCTAGTCTGTACATCATAACAGGCCACCCACGCTGTTTCTCAGACCTCTCCCTGAGAGGTTCTCTGAACACCAAGACCTCACAAACCCAGTGTGTGCTCATACAGACATGGCATGACCACTGAAATAAATATTTATAGCAACAGTGCATTATACAGCCCATCCAAGCCTTAAACACACTCGGACATGTGAGTCTGAGTATTGTCAGAAGAGTCATTCTGAATCCAAACTCTCCTTTTCCCTGGCTATAATCAGTCTCCAGCAATGCTACCTGTGGAATTGCATTTGCTTTTCCTCATCTTTGCTTTTGTGAAGATAAAAGCAGTTTGAAATGAGTGGTGGAAATTACCTACATTTAGACTGCTCTGCTGGAAATTGAAATCTTTTTGTTTTTCTTCTTTATTTCTCTATGTATAAATATAGTATATGCAGTTGTCCTCCATGATCAAAGGTAATGATATACTTTCCCAAAAGACAAGTATGAATGAAAATAATAATAATAATAATAGTAATAATACTATATGTGATCACAGTGGACACTTGCATCATTTTTTATAGCTCCCAAAGTCCTGGATCCTGCCAGACCCTTATATTAATAGTAAGATCTTTCTTCTTTGAGCAAGCGCTGTATACTAAGCATCTTTCTAAGTAGCTTCCATATATTATTATCTCATTTAATCTTCCTGAAATCCCTCTTAGATGGTTGCGATTAATCAATCATTAATAGATGGAGAAATCAAAGCACAGGAGACCAAGTCTTTTGCCTCAGGTCACACAGCTGGAAGGGTTTGGGATCTGTGCAGTCCAGCTCCAAAGCACACAGGATAAGCTCCAACATTCCACAAAATCATGAGATTATGACTAGCCATAGCTCAGCTAAGCTTCCAACAAAGCAATGCACAGTTCTTTACAGAAGCACCTTAGAGATGAAGGCTTTCTTAAATAGAGACTGATGGCTTACAAATAACAGAAATGTATTACTCACAGGTCTGGAAGCTAGGACACCAAAGATCAAGGTGATAGCAAATTCCTTGCCAAGGGAAGTATGCTTCTTGGTTTATAAATAGTGCCTTCGCACCAAGCATGCTGGGAAGTAAGGATGTTCTCTTAGGTTTCTTTTATAAGAGCACAAATCCCATTCATAAGGACTGTGCCTTCTAGACCTAATCACCTCCCAAAGGCACCCATTTCCAAATATCACTACAGTGGGTATTAGGATTTAACATATGAATTCTGGGCAGGCAATTCCATTTATAGCATAGGATCTCAGGGAAGAACAAAAAGTCCTTGTTGTCACCAAGCTCTTGACTTGTGGTGGCACTAGTCATGCCATCCCCTCTCTATACTCTCTGATGGATATCATGTGAAATGTCCCTCTGGACTGCTGAGGATTTCTCTCCAAACACAGTATCCCCTATATACATACACCCTCATGCCCAGCTATTGATCTTTGAAACACAGTTGGCACATTCAACACCAGGAACTTTTTAACAATCCATTACCTCTCACCTCTCCATATTCTAAACCAGTCCACATGTTTCTATGCAATTGCTCTTTGCAAAGTTAACATTTCCAAATGGCAAGAGAAGTTCAGAATCATTTAAGAGGGAAAAAAAACATATTTGAGACATACCATGAAAATGTTGGGCCTTTTGTCCTTCTTTTAAAAAAAAAAAGCCCATTTTTACCCTCCTTGCTAAAGCAGTAAGCTCAAGTGGCCTCTTGCTTCTTGTTTTTCCCAGGGAAGTCAATTTCAGCTCAGTTCCCACTGTTTCATAACACAGGAGCTCAACTTACACACTTCCAAACAGAGAGATGGGTGCTCACTTTTGTTTTCTTCGTCCCTCAAGAAAAAGCCGCAATCTCAGTTTCAGGCTTAAGCAGTCTTAGCAGCTATCAGCCCCATAAGCTCTGGCATGCCATAAATAGTCTTTTTCATCAGAAACTGCAAATCACCATGCTACTGTACAAAGCAGAGTTACTCAGATAGCTGCCCAAAACCATGGGATCTTACGTTAGTGGCATTTAATAAAGATTTGTTGATGGACTGTCTGATCTAGTCTTCCATATCAGGTGCAGCCTGAGTCAAAGGGTTTGAACAAAGACTTCAAACTAACATTTTATTCACTGACCTCTCAATTCCCACAGTCTTTTAACTTAGAATTTGAAAACTTATTAATAATGCTTGCATTTCAAAGACCCCCCCACATGGACCACAAGGCGGGAAGAAATAAGTCAAAGCCCCTCTACTAACAGACTATGGCACTATGATGAAAAGTGGTGTCCTTACAGTTGCCTGAAGAACTAAGACAGCTTTTGGATCATAAGCGAAAAGCAAATCAAGAATTCCAGCATGTACTTAGCATGCATGAGGTTTTGAGTTCAATCTCTAGCTCTAAGAAGGAAAAATAATTATATTGTGATAGTTAAAAGCTTTGGAGTCAGGAATTCTGATTCTGCCACTCATTAACTCTGTGGCCTTATGTAGGTTACTTAAGTATTTCTATACAATAATTTCTTCATACAATCAGGATGTCTGTCCAGGAAATGGTCATTAAGCCCTTGAGAGAGTACCTGGCATGTAGAAAACATCAGTAGTGTTGTGAACTATTAGTAAAAGTGTTAATAACTTTTCTTAATTTTGGCCAAATAAACACCAGATGTAACAACTTAAGGGAGGGAAAGTTTGTTTTAGGCTCATGGTTTCAGAGATTTTAGTTCATAGTCAGCAGAGTCCATTGTGTGGGACCTGAGGTGAGGCAGAACAATATGCCAGCTAGGAATATAGTAGAACAAAGCAGCCCCTTTCAAGGTGACCAGGAAGCAAAGGGAAAAAAAAGTGCCTGCATTTGTAGGCTTCTTCCTTCTTCCCTTTGCATTCCATCCAGGGCCCAGCCTAAGGATAATGCCACCTGCATTCAGAATGAGCCTCCCCCACTTCTTAATTATTTCTGGAAACACCCTTACAGACACACCCAGAAGTTTTAGAGTTGTTGTTGTTTTTTAACTAATCTCATAGGAGCGTCTCAATCTAACCAAGTTGAACATCAAGATGAACCACTGAAATAAAACAGGGAAAGAAATTGTACTTGTTAATTTTATGAAAATCAGGAGCCCAGTCCTACCAACTATAATTCAGCTAACCAGAGTATTCAGTTAAACAGAACACCTAATTCTCCTAATGGCAGAGATTGGCACAAACAGTACTAACCAAAGTGTTGAGGGATAAGAAGCAAAGTTAGGGTATACAATGAACATATTTTACTGGAATCACAAAGCACTAGCTATAAGAAGGTAAAATCGGTCCATAAATTTATAAGGTGAAATTATTATTCTGCGTGAAGTAGGCCCTGAGAGGAGACTTGAGCTGGTACAGCTTCTTTCCAGGATTTGCCTTTGTTTTAGGGATTTTAGAAAAAACAAACAAACAAACCTTTAAACAAGGTTAACTAGACCTTGGATCCCACCAGCCCAATTCCTGGAATGGAAAGAATACCCCTCCCCTTAACAACCTAACTCACATTGATTGTTGAGTTAAAGCCTGACCCATAAAACAGATAGGTTGTAATCTGGCTCCAACTGGCGACACCACAGGCTTATGTCAAACCCTGCCTTTTGCACATGCTTATGGTAAACTCCGCCTATTGGCCACCTGTGTGTGGTCTGGTATGACCGTACAATCCTTTGTGTATGTTATGATCCCATTGGTCACCAGAGCATGACCAGGCTTTAAAAACCAAAGAATAGGGGCCACTCATGGTCACGGTATCAGCTCCCGAGCCTGTGCTGCAGCCCTGGCCAGTCAGTGTAGGAACCTTCTCAATAAAGTTGCTTCTTTATTAGCGACTTTGTTGCAGTGGGCTCTGTCACTCCAGACGACTAAGTGGCCTTGCCTGCCTGAGTAGGGGTCTTCCTACTACATGTAATGGGGGCTCATCCGGGATAGAGCTCTTAGCCGCTCCAACCTGAGGGGGATTGAAGTCCCTGGCTGGGAGGACAGTGTGCGAGCACTCGGCTGTTGGAGAGAAGTTCTGAGAAAAGCCTTGAGGTAAGCACGGTGGACCTAGGTAGAGAAGGCACCAGAGTGAGGCCAAAAATAGGGTGAGGCTGGATGCAGCAGAGTCCCCTATGACTGAGGAGGTCCAAGGATGCCTGGACCCCTCAATTCCACCAGTCCTAGCAGTCCTAGTTGGACAGGGGCTTGCTTGTGGAGAAAATAGGTTGAGAAAAAAAGTAACTTTTGGTTTTGGGATCCCTCCTTGTTCCATGTATAATCATATCTGTCTGTGTCTCATTATGCTTTTGCTTTTGCTTGCCATGTTTGTAATTGGATTTACTTTACAGAAAAAATATGGGACAAAGTGAGTCCACTCCCGGGACACCGCTAGACCTTGTCCTAGTTCATTTTTTAAAAAAACGAAACTAAACAAAAACTGCTGGTTCTGCTTTTGTAACTTGCTTCTTTGTCAATTATGAAACTGCCACTGACCACCTGCAAGTGGCCCCAGTTAGGTCTCAGCCTCAGGCCTTGGCTCAGGGGGTCTGAGCATGGGGGAGAACCTGTCAGTCTGAGGGGACAGCCACTAGGGACTTCTTTTCCTTGCCTCAAGATGACTGGGAATTCTCCTCCACCTTGGAAGGCCCCTGGGTCAATGTTTGCAGGAATCTAATAGAAAAATCCTCCAGAGGTGAGTAGAGGGGCTTCAAGTCCCCTGGTAAGTGAATGGTGGTGAGATGTCGTCCCATTCACTGAGACCTGATTTTGCCTTTGTGGCCACTTGTCTGTATTGTTTACTTTAGTGTGTTTTCTGTTCTATGTTTTCTGAGGTAGGGAAGCTCTGGGTGAGAGTGGAAGCTCACTCAGCAGAAGTCTGGATTCAGCTTGCTGAGTGGAAGCAGCACAAGAGTTCTGGTAGGGATAAACTGGGGGCCCATTAGTCCCCAACTCAGCTTTCAGTTCTTGTCTTGTTTTGCCCTGATTTAGAATTGGTACACACACAAAGGGTTATACGGTCATACCAGACCACACAAAGGTGGCCAATAGGCTGAGTTTACCGGAAGCATGTGCAAAAGGCAGGGTTTACCGTAAGCACGTGGTGTTGCCAGTTGGAGCCAGATTATAACCTCTCTGTTTTAGTAGTCAATCTTTAACTCAACAATCAAGGGGTGGGTTAGATTGTTAAGGGGAGGGGGACCAGATGCATTTTTTTCATTCCAGGAACTAGGCCCATCAAGTCTAAAATCCCTAAAACAAAGGCAAAGCTCAAAATGAAATCATATCAGCTTGGGCCCCATCTCAGGGTCCACTTTAGTATACTATATTGTTGAAAGGTAAATCATCCCAGAAGCCACATTTTAAAATATAGAATATTAGAGTCTTTATTTTACAGTTAGCAGGCTGCAGGCTGCCAGTTGCTACAATGGCCTATAGCACACAAATACACATAACTCAGCTAGGAAACATATTAAAGAGGAAAGAAATAACAAGAACAATACCAACAAGCCAATTCAGATCCAATGGAGAGCTGAATTGGGACTCCATGATGACTGGAGATGAGCCAGGAGACAGAAGACAGGACATGATCACGGAGACATCCATGGCATAGAGTCCTGGCAGCCAGGCTGGTCCGGGCCTAAATAGGTCAGCACAGGGGCAGATCCTCAGGAAATTTTCAGTCCCAGGCACTAGACTAACAGATTCAGTAACCTATCAGCCAAGTGCCTGCCCCTGCTTTCAGGTCCGAGCACGCCCATTACCTGCAAGGCAGGTGATGGGGGGGCAGCGGTTCCTTCCCCCAGCATGAAGACAAGGACAAGATGCCATATCTTACCATCCAGCATGTGGCCAATATGACTCTGGCCAAACTTGGCCTCTTTACTTCAATATGAACCATTCCATATATATATATATACATATATATATACATATATATATACATATATATATATGTATATATATATATATATGTAAAGATATTGTACAGAGGCTTATAGTTACATGAGTAAGAATGAGTACATTTCCTCTTGAGCTTTGTCCCCCCATTCCCTCCTCTTTATCCCCTCCACCCCCAAGCTGTAGAGTTTGTTTTTTGGGGGGATGGGGGTCTTGGTCGGTCCTGGGGCTTGAACTCTGGGCTTGGGTGCTGTCCTTGCGCTCTTCAGCTCAAGGTGAGAGCTCTACCGTTTGAGCCACAGCACCATTTCTGGTTTTCTAGTGGTTTATTGGAGATAAGAGGCTCACTGACTTTCCTTGCCCAGGCTGGCTTTGAAACCTGATCCTCAGATCTCAGTCTCCTCAAGATTACATGCATGAGCCACTGGTGCCCGGCTTAGAGTTCGTTTTTAACATAGTCTTATACATCTTGTACATCTCATTGTTACAATGGGTCAGCCTGTATCCTTGTTTCAGCGTTTTGTTATTTCCCTTTTTCTCCCCAAATTAGAAAAATGAATTAAACAAGATGCAGGGTACTGGGATCAAATACAGTGACAACCGGAGTTATACCAATAGGGAGGAACAAACAAAAGAAACAAAGGAAATCACATAGAACATTATAAGTACATTAAAAATAACAGCAGCTGGGTGCCGGTGGCTCATGCCTGTAATCCTAGCTACTCAGGAGGCTGAGATCTGAGGATCGGGGTTCAAAGACAGCCAGGGCACTAAAGTCTGTTATACTCTTACCTCCAATAAACCACTAGAAAACCATAAGTGGTGCTGTGGCTCAAGAGATAGAGTGCTTGCCTTGAGCTGAAGAGTGCAGGGACAGCACCTAGTCCCAGAGTTCAAGCCCCATGACTGACAAAAAAAAAAGCAGCAAAAAAGATAAACCCTCTTGTATCTCTATCCTGAGGTTCATCATTTATTTTCTTTTTTATATTTATTTACTTTGTAATGCTGTGTTTCAAACCTAGGGACTCAACATTAAGCATGCAGTCTACTACTGAGCCACACCCTTAGTCTTTTTCTGGCAATGAGAAGGAAAAGAAGCTAATTGAACTATACTCATACTTTAGTTACCAGATTTTACCAGGAGAAATGAGGTGAAAGGAATTGATATAGACAATTAACAACTAATTAATACTGTTGCTGATAAAAACACAGGTAAAGGAATTCTTAGAAAAATCAATAGGCAGAATGAATCAAATCCTTAGGCAGTGAAAGAAAATTGCTAATAAATTTGCTGAACATCAACAACTTAGTTATAGTGACTAAGAACAAATTTTGTGTTAAATCTTCAGTGAGGTGAGGAGAAAGAAGCCTTCTAGTGATTGAATAACTTGCAGGGAAAGAGAAGGAAGAGAAATGAAAAGCAATGAAATGGCAGAGACTGTCCCCTCAGTGGTGACTAAAATCATGTTAACAGGATAAACCACTGTCAAGATTACAGTGACCTGGACTACATTAAGAAATCAATTCTGTATGTATCTCTTCAGCTTCTTCCTTGTCAAGCACAATAAGCCAAGTGGAAGACACAAAGATGAACAAAACTGGGTCCTCAATCTCGTGAAATGCCAGGTACAGCTGCAGTGAACACAGTTGGAGCAGAATCATATGCAGAGAACACAGACACAGAAAGAAGGTGAATTTTCACCAAGGCCTTTAGGAAAGACTTCCTGCTGGAGGTGGCATCTGAGCTAACTTTGAAAAGAAAGGAAAAAAAAGAAAATGAAAAATGTTCTGAGTAGGGAATTGGCATTCATTTTCATCCATTCACCCAATTAACAAACCATTACTGGACAGTTTCTGTCAGTCACAGAGCTAGAAGATGATGACAGTATCTAAGTAAAAATCAAGAGTTCTTGCCTTTGGGAAACCACTAAAGAGACAGATATCAGCAAAAATACCAAACCTTCAGATGTAAAGGCAATGTAGTCAAAGTCATGAAGGCTGTTCCTAGGTCTGTACTTGAGACAACAAAGAAGGCATTGCTGGGAAATCATAATAAAGTTGAGGTATGAAGATGTGAAGGTTGAATCTGAGCAATCCTAGCCAAAAGAAGGAACTGCAGCCAGCATTCCTGATGGAAGGAGCAGCAAGCTGAAGGTTTAAAAAAAAATGGACAAGCTGGGCACTGATGGCTTAGGCCTGTAATCCTAGCTACTCAGGAGGCTGAGATCAGAGGATCGTGGTTCAAAGCCAGCCCAGGCAGGAAAGTTCGTGAGACTCTCCAGTTAATCACCAGAAAACCAGAAAGGGTGCTATGGCTCAAGTGGTAGAGTGCTAGCCTTGAGTTGAAGAGCTCTGGGACAGTGCCCAGACCCAGAGTTCAAGCCCCACAACTGACTCCCCCTAAAAAAAAGAAAGAAAGAAAAAAGATGTCATCAAGAGGCTGGAAAAAGCTACTAAGGCAGGAGCATTCCAAGTGGGAAGTAGGGTCAGGGAGACAAGCCTTTGGGCCAATGAGGAAATAGTATTGAGGGTCTTAACAGATACCTTTCCCTTTGATCCAAAGAGCGGCATTACTGGGAATATTGCAATTGGATATTGTGTGGTGAGCAGGTGGAAGTAGCAAGGAGAGAGTTTTATTTTAGAAAGATGATGGACAAAGTCGGGGGACAGAATGAAGCAAAGTAGTACTAGTAGTCCAACAGGACTAAGCCTAAGAAGGCAGCAGTGTAGATAGGAGATATGTGATCAAGGGGTGCTAAACGCAGAGCCTGGTAGTGAATACCTACAATCCCACTACTCCAGGGGCAGATGCAGGAAGGTTGCACATTTACAGCTAGCCTGGCAAAGTTATGGAGACTCTTGTCTCAAAAACTAAAACTAAAAAAAGTTGGACTGGGAGTAGGCTCAAATGGTAGAATGCTTACCTAGAATTTGCAAGACCCTGAGTTCAATCCCTCACCCCACACCAAGAAAGGGAACAAAAAATTGGGAGAAGAGCTTTGGGGTAAGTCAATAAGAGTACATGTTATACTGTAAGAGGTTCGAAAAGGAGATGTTAAGGGTACATCTGGCTTCCGGGGAGAGATGGATATACAATTCTCTAAATGAGGACAACAGGAAAGAAGAGCTGTTGTGATAAAAGACACAAGCTGTGGAAAGACAGAGTTGGGAAGGTTTTTTTGAACACTGGATGTCCCTCAGTAGACTCATGAGGACAGGGATCCTTTACTCCTTAGCCACTAACTGATTGACAGCAAGTGCAAAGTAACAGCATGTAGTTTAAATGCAGAAGGGAATTGTGGCGGTATAAAAGCATCATTTTAATGTGGGAAATGCACATTTTGAGGTGTTTTAAGACATTCAAGATGAGTTGTTGAACAAAGGATAGAGAGATAGATGGATTGCAGGTTGGGCAAAGGTTGAAACAGGAACTATGAGATCACCCAAGAATAGCTAGAGAAAGAATAGAAGTAGATTCTGGATTTAATCTTTAGGAATTACAACAATCAGAGCCAGGTAGGTGAAGGGAAGTACACAAAAAGGAGACAGAGAAGGAGCAGCCAAAGTCAGAGAAACAGTGTCCATTGCAAGTAAGATGAGAATTGAAGAATGCCCTTTAGGTTTAGCACCAGTGAGGTCATCCATGACCTTTGCCGGAACTATTTTTTGTGGTCTGATGGAGTAGAAGGCAGGCTGGAGGTGGTGAGGAGTGGGAGGCGACAAAATAGTGTCAGAGAGTAGACACAGTCTTAGAGAAATTAAGAGCAAAAGAGGAAAGGGGGCGAGGCACGGACT